AGGGAAGGTTTTAAAAAATTCAATAAAAGTTACTTCAATATATTATTACTTGAAAATCGGAGGGTAAATACAGCTTAATTTTTCAACTCATATAGACTGTAGATAGGTAAAGGGATTTGATCACACGATCATTTTAGCATACGAAAAAATAAATTATTTTTTGTCAATCCAAATGGTTGCACAATTTGTTACATATTATATCAATATTATAATTAGAAGAAATATTTTATTTACATTTTGTACAAATATAATTATTATAAATACAAATCTTTGGCCTGAAAAAGGTCGGGCGGGACAGCTAGTTATTCTAATATTATATTATATTATATAGGTAGTTACATTATGGACAATAATCATTACATTTCGGTAATTAAAATTAGGTAGAAATAATGATATGTTCAATTTTATTTCCAGGAAAACGGTTTTATTTATTTTTAATGCAAACAATATTACAGTACAGTCGGGCAAGCTGGATTATGTTTCCGCCGGCGCCGCAGAACGGATCCACGGCCACACTTTTCTACCATATATTTGCTGAGTGTCTAAGAGACAGACCGAATAAAACCAAACATACGATTATAATAATATACATCATAAATGTTTTTTTACATACCCTCGTCCATCAGAATATCCTCATCGAATTTTGAAAATAAGGCATGGCTCTTTTTCCAATATTTAAATGTGCTCGGTCAATCGGCAATACAAAAAAAACATTATTTAATTTCTGATTATACCTATAGGTAAATGCACTTACGTGGTGTCGGACCGCGCGGTTGACGGCTTCTCGACGCTGCAGAAAGGCATCAAAGTGGTGTCTACGACGTGCAGTGGCATCGGACTTCCGGCGGCAGACAACGGCGGCGTCTGCTCTTCCGGACAGCTGACAGATTTCTGATAATATACACATTGCTAAGGACCTAACTACCCAAGGTAGGTATATAAAAAAAGCTCTGGGGGATAAAAATTAATAATAATTCTTAATATATCTTAAAAAAGTCGCTTTTTTTCTCTGAATTCTTAGATCTTTAAAACTACGCAACGGATTTTGATGCGGTTTTTTTTAATTGAGAGGGTGATTCAAGTGGAAGGTTTATTTGTATATACCATGCATAGTATAAAAGAGAAACACCCCTAGGAGATGCTCAAAAAGGGATTTTGAGATTTACGATGGAAATTTTTGTTTATGATAATGGTTGCTATAGACACTAACATATAGAAAATATTTAAATTATAAAAAAATAATAATAAATCTTTATCTTAACAAAGTCCCACTGTCTGTCTATATGTTTGGATCTTTAAAACTACGCAACAGACTTATATAGATGTGGTTTTTTTTAATTGGTAGAGTGATTCAAGAGGAAGGTTTATATGTATTATAGTAGAGAAACACTGCCACTTATTTTTTGTATGTACGAGCATGTCGCGGTCGGTATTTCGGCTATTTCGGTAAATACCGGCCGCTACGTCTTTCGTGTCACCCGCACGACGTGCTACAGTCGGACGGCAGGTGGTGGGGACCCGGACGTCGACAACGACGCCCGACCTCGCCGGCCGGGCTGTCTGTCTTGTTCCTAACGTGCTACATAACGTACTTCTGTTCAATTGTTTTGAATATAATAAAGTGTACATCGACTATTAACACCGTTGATGTTATTGAGTGTAACCTTCTTCCTTTACCACAACCAGTCCACCGTGTCAGTGGCGCAGTCGGTTTTGGATTTTGAATCTCGTGGCCCGTAAGGTAAGTCAATATTATATTAACCATAATACTTATCACGGGTGATCCCACGGGTACTCCACGTGTAGTAGCAAACATTTGTCTATGGACCACGTGGAAAGGCGTGGTACTGGGTATGGGACAGGATAGTCCGTCCAACAACACTAGTGTACAAAGGGGCAACAACCACCAATGGGTAGCCTCAACAAAACATAGTATAACGCATTTCGGTGATCTCGGGAAGCCCCAAAACCACGTGAGTTGGGAGCATGGTGAGCATGGGAGAAACCCATGGGCTGTTTAGAAAACACGTAGGGCACTTTCCGTGAACGCTGGGAATACCCGCATAGTCATTCGCGACAAACAGGTTTTCACATCGGCGGGGACGGGACAGTCGACCACTGGACAGAACACCCGTATAACGATGTCGGGAAAAACACAGCGACGAAACATACGGGCGAAACCCACACAACAGGGAACAAGACCAACAACAATCGGCACATCACAAACCTCTGGAAAACCCCTCCCGAACAGTGAATCAACGCCGAAGCAATGCGATTAAAGTCAAGGAACAACAACGACAACCGTACTGCAGCTGAAAATTGACAAGACCAAAGTACTACAACTCAACAGTCTATACAAGGTGGGTACGACTCGAAGCCAACGGCAACGAGACGCGCCCGGAACACCGAGAAAGAATCTAGAGGTTTATCCCCCCTGCGCACGTGGACGAAGGTCAATCGGGTATCCCAACCGATGACACTGCCACTCCAATGCTATGGTAAATAGGGGAGTAGGCAGGCACCATGTGTTACCGACGTTGGAGTCGTTAAGGCCGGTTAAACTGACAATCACGTCACACTGGCCGACCCAATCGAGGGTACAAGCGTAACCGACACTAGGAGTCAGTGAGTCTGGTTAAATTGACAATGACGTCACACCAGCAGATCCAATGGAGGGCGCAAAATCAACCAACAGCGGAGTCGAATGACAATAACCAATGACGACTAAAAGTCATACCGTCACCGACCCCGTTGGAAGTAGGGAACCTGAACCAAGTCACGAAGTCAAGGGAAGAAAACACCAACATCCTAAAGGGCAAGTGAAAGACCAAGATACGAGGCTAAGGAGCGGACGGACCAATAAGTGGTAAAGTACGGCAATGCTGGAAGATAACCCCAGGTCTAAACACACACGCGGTACGGGAAATACCTAGTACCGAACAATTCCACCAAACAATATGTAAACGGTATGAACCCAACATACGGGTTTTTCCAATTCCAAATCCAAAAATGACATAAGATTCAAGAGGAAAACAACCGAACACACCGTGCTGATTGGCGGGGGAGAGTGGCGCGACCGGCAACACGGTGACAGGTCACACCTAGCTTATCATCAGCACGACACGCCCGAGCACACAGACATGCGGGCCGGGTCAAACCCAGAACTAGTCCTGGGGTTTTACCGACTCGGGGAAAACCACGTCGAAAACATTCCGGGTTTTTCCCCCTAACGAACACCGCGGGGGAAAACCGACATACGAACAACACACACCAGATGGGAAAACCAACGATGTTGACAATCGGGGAATTACCCACCATAACCAATACGTTTTCCATATAACATGTTGTGTATTTATAGCAGGAAAACCAAGATGTCCTCACGTAACCAGCCGACAACGACGCCTTCCCACAGCAACGGAGATTTTAATCTGTCGGTGTGCGACTACCGTCCCCACAGGGGGACCGTATCTGATGTGGTACAGTTGATCCTGGACCAGCCTCTGGACACTCGGTCGCCATCTTTTTGAAGGACAAATTGTTATCACCGCTGTAATCAAATCACTTTCATTGTTTTATTCTGTGATAACAACGTGTTTACAGCATGATAACGTTCGAAATTGAAAATATCTTATTCTGTGTTATAAAATTATTATGTAATGATGCAACATAGTTTTTTTTCTCATTGGAGGTCACACTGATTTGTCCTTCAAAAACATGGCGGCATTGATTTAGTTATTATCCTATGTTCCCCGTATATTTTATAATCAGTGTCCATTCTGATTGTCTTATTCTGTGCCTGGACCAGGCGTCCCAAAACCTGTTGAATGCGCGCCGGCTCGCTGGGCGGTCATCGGGCATACCTACATGGGAAAACCTGATGGCCGTGTGGCGACTGTACGGGAAGAACCAACCAAGGGCGGAAAGGGGCACCCAAACGCCATCGGCGGCCACGCCGACAATGGAGACCCCAACCGAGACGAGTCTAGAGGTGAAACCTGACGACGGACGTGCGCTGGCCAGGTGGGCCGTAGGGGCGACCCATCAAGACCTGCTGCAACATCCACTGATCCAGACCGCTCTGGACCGGGGAGTGGTGAGACCCCCCCACCAGCAGCACAGGCAGGATCCCGACGACTGGCGAAGGAAACGTCGACAATCCCCACCAGGAACATCCGGACAGTGCGGACGAAGGCCGATCTCAAGCAGGGCGGAACGCCGCTTGACGACCCAAAGGTGGCCGATTTAATCAACCTGGACACCGACGAGGAGGAGTTCCTCCAACTCCGGGTAGGCCCACAGGAGCTCCCGGCTGTGAACATGCTGTCGGGACTGCCGGACAACGACGAGCGACCTCGCCGCCGGCCGGGCCGGCTGTCTTGTTCCTAACGCGCTACATAACGTACTTCTGTTCAATTGTTTTAAATATAATAAAGTGTACATCGACTATTAACACCGTTGTTGTTATTGAGTGTAACCTTCTTCCTTTACCACAACCAGTCCACCGTGTCAAGCAAGTCTTGAAAAGAACACATTTTTATAAGGTTTTCACTAATAAATTGGTTGAGTTACGGGGAAGGTTTCGAAAAAGTCAATAAAAGTTATTTCAATAGATTATTACTTGAAAATTAGAGGGTAGAGCACACATGATTTTTTTTTAGCATACGAAAAAATAAATTATTTTTTGTCAATCTAAATGGTTGCACAATTTGTTACATATTTTATTAATATTATAATTAGAAGAAATATGGTATAATATACATTTTGTACAAATATATTTATTAAAAATACAAATCTTTGGCCTGGACAACGTCGGGCGGGACAGCTATAGTTGTTATAATATTTTATTACATTATAGACAATAATTATTACATTTCGGTAATTAAAATTAAGTAGAAATAATAATATGTTCACTTTTATTTCCACGAAAACGGTTTTATTTATTTTTAATTTTCAAAAAATATTACAGTACCTTTGTCGAACAGTATACATACCCTCGTCCATCAGAATACCCTTATCAAATTTCGAAAATAAAGTATGTCTTTTTCTCCAATATTTAAATGTGTTCGGTCAATCGGCAATACAAAAAAAACATTATTTAATTTCTGATTAAACCTATAGGTAAATGCACTTACGTGTCGGACCGAGCGGTTGACGGCTTCTCGACGCTGCAGAAAGGCATCACAGTGGTGTCTACTACGTGCAGTGGCATCGGACTTCCGGCGGCAGACAACGGCGTCGTCTGCTCTTCCGGACAGCTGGAGGGCCCGAGAAACTCCTCTGCCATAAACACGCTGGTGCCGACGGACTGGGCGGCCAACCGGATAACGCTCTCTCAATGCCTGTTGCACTGCAGGACTCTTCACGATGTAGACGACGAACGCAGTCATAGCGAGTCCTGCTCACAACAGGCAGAGTAGCAGCGCTAAGCATGTCATAGCAGAAGTTCCAATGACAGTGACGACCAGCATTGAAGATAAACTGAAAACAGTTGTGATAAATCCTGCAATAAAATAAACATTAAAGTTAATAATTATTCATAGTTAATTGAAAGTGTAACACACACGGGGGAGGGAGAGCAGGGAGGCAGGGCTTGCAAATGTTATAATAAAGTTATGATTACAGTACTTCCTCGTTAACACGAACTCGGTTAACACAAATTATTGGATAACGCGAACCGGTTTTTTGGTTCCGTGAAAGGCTCTATGCTATAAGATAGGGTTTTTTTTATTACCTCGGTTTATACGAATTATTTCGGTTAACACGAAACTCGAACAAATTTTAGGTACCATATTATGGTCGTTTTGAACACGAACAGAAAAATGTCAATATGTACATATTATGTATCTATTTTCGTTTGGATAATTATGGATAATGATCTCGAGGTCCGCGATGAAAATGCTGGAGAAGATGAAAACCCCGTAATCTACTGAAATCTCTGAACCTCCAGTGGATAATCCCTCTCGGGCTGATGTGTTGGCAGCCTTTGATACCCTCGTCAAATTTTCCCGAACCAGTGCAGGGTTGGATTGCAAATTTGATGACCCGTTGAACAGCATCAGAAAACAGTGCCTAGAAAACTATGGAGTTACATTCACCCAGAAACCTATCACTGACTTTTTTAAACCGTCGCGAGTTTTAAATTAATTTTTTTTCGAAAAAATGTATTAAAAATTTTTCTTCGTACAATATGTAAGGTAGCGTAGTAATTAATTAATTCAAAATATTTGTTTATATGTAGTATGTACCAAAGTAATGTACATTTATATTTTGAAGATTACATATTAGAAAAAAATCTAAGAATTGATTATATTATATTCCGTATCCTGGACATCACCTACCCGCATTTTTTTGGAGTTATTGATAACTTTTAAATTGAATTTCCAATAGCAAATAAATAGTATAATAATAATAATTAGGTATAAAGAATACCATTTATACCAATACTAGCTCTCCGACTAGCTTTGGGACACCCCCAGACGTCGGTCATGAGTGTTTTCGATTCCGAAAGCTGCAGTGGTCTTTTGGTCTGGTCGTCAGTCTCCCATTGGACGGTGTCAAGGTGATAAGGATCTGTGATAAGGCTAGGACCACTGCAGAGAATCTCTTAAATTGTAGAAATATGACAATAATCATTCACATGTTTTAGGACTCACGTCCGTTTATATTAAATAAATAAATAAATAAATAAATAAATATCACTCGCTAATCTCTGGACAGAAAATAAATAGGACGTAGGTAAACATGGTCCTTAATGAACACTAATTTTTGGGTGGTAAACGCCTGCCCAAATTACATTAATGTTTTTAGCTATTATTAGCAATAATATATTCCTCACATCAGGTCAATAAGCTATTATTATTATTATTTAATAATTTATTACATATTTATTTGGTACTTACTGCGTTATAAAGTTCAAATATGAACTGTTCTTGTAGCCATCGCCGTCGTTCGGTAACGAAATAGAGACATGAAGTAAATGATTCTTGTTTACAAAGCAGAAATTCAAATAGATTTATACCTATAGAAATAGTTTATTGGAGAATGATGTGCGTCGTCAGATTTTCGCAATGTTTTGAATGTTTCGAGAATTATTGATGTTTATCTAATACGGGTATTTTATAAAGTGGTAACACCTACCTTGTACATACAATACAGGGAAAAATTTAGGGACACTTGGCGGCGGGTTTTTGAACGTTCGACAGGGTCCGTTAGCTAATTTTAAACTATATTATTTTGTTCACGGGAAAAACCATGTCCCCGAAACCCTACACAAATCGAGAACAGCAAATATGTAAGAATTTTTAGTTTTTTTTTTTTTAGAGGTTCTTGTGGGGTACCCCTGGACCATCCCCACCGTAAATACGCTACTGCGCACACACACACACACACACACACACACACACACATACATACAATCATACATACATAACGTATATTAGGAGATCCGTAAGTAAACCGGTACGTTATGGGATCCATAAGAAATATTAGGTATTAGGGCTTTTTACCAAATGCTAAAACTGTAAAATATATTTTTATATTTAATGTAATATTAATTTATACCATAGACTCATGATAATGTAAGGAATTATTAAATCCTTCTTGGATCCAGTGTGTATAGGAAGAAATAACACACCATGTGGAATCCACAAGCATATTCATAGGTTGTAAAAGTATTTATAGGTTGTAGATCCACGAGTATGTTTATTGATTGTATAAGCACTTTATTAGATCCATACAACGTTGCCAAACCATGCAATAATAATTAATTATATAAATAATAAGTTTACCTAACATGTAAAGTGTACACTATCAAGACTTTTATACTTCAAATATATTTTAATTTTTTTAAATAAATTCTACAGGAGATCATAATAATTATAATAAGCAAATACTAACTTGCAACATAATTTTATATGAAACTTATTTCTTTAAATTTCTTAAGACCTGTAAAAGTAGTTAAGTAAGGTTAATAATACTACTAACCAAAATCATGACTCAAAACTTAAATTATGAAAAATGAAATTTAAGCCATTTAAGTTTTTCTAATGAATTATTTTTCACACATTTTGTTGATACCATTGCATAATAATATTAATATATTTTATTAAAAAGTAATTAATAAATAAAAATAACTTACCATTCTATAATTGCCCTTTAATTTTCACAGTTAAAAGTATTGTCAGCTTCAGAAAAAAAAAATGTTTTCTTTTATATTTTATTATTATGTATTTATAATATTACTTAAGACATCGTAGTACCTACTGATGTTTTCTATTGAAGGGCTACAAGGTTTTTTTAAAATGATATAGTTTAAAATTAATATTAACATTCATTATAAATACCTACTATATTACCTATATTTAGTTCTCAAAACATGAGGGCACAAAGTAAATCTTCTTTCTTAGAAATATTATAGCATACCCCTACTAATTAATAATTATATCAGCTAATCAATAAATGCAGGTAGGTATATATTTATGTAATATTATATCTTATTTAATTATATAATAATTATATTTGAGTAGGTATGCAGATTGTTTTTAGACTTTTGCACCCCATTCTAATTTTTTTCCAATTCAAGCACTGACTATATATTTTATAATCAATGATATTGATTACCTTTCAATTTTAACAACTAGGGAGTAAGATGGTAGTATTTTAGAAACAAACAATTAATTTTAACTTTTTATAATTTATTATTAACTTCAATTTAATAAAAAAAAAGTAACATCAGCTTTTATAACAATAAAAAATGTATAGTTTGAATAATTTAGGTAATCTGTACCAACTAAATAGTTTTAATCATAAAAAGAAAGACTTTTTTTAAAAGAAAATTAATATTTTTAAAATAAAATTAATAAAAATTGAAAATAGTAACAAAAGATAAAATATCTACTTATGTCTGTTGATGATTTTATCATTATTTCAGGGAATTGTTTCTTAAGGTTATCACACTCTTCTTTTTTTGGTACTTTGTTAAGTAAAATATGTTTTTGGAAGTATTCTGTTGTCACTTTCTTCTCTGCCTCTGCCCAAGGCACCCTTACAAACTTCTTAGAATCTGGAAGCAAATTTTTCTTAGGAAGAGGCACTGATTTAATTTTATTAGAGATTCTTTTTTCGTATGAACTATTTCATCATTTTCAATTTTTTTATTTGCATCTTGACTTTGAAGTGGCTTATCTTTGAAGCGGCTACGGCGATGGTTGAATGGTGTCCGCGGTAAGCCGGTCGTAGAGTGTTGGTGAAATTGTAACAAAAGAACGACAACACTTGCTTCACGGTAATGTCCGCGAGGGACGTTTATTTGTCAATATAAACGGTGATGATCACAATAAAATAAAATAACACCAAAACGTGGCCGACACTTAGTGTGTATAGTGATGATACGGTTTTATGTCGATATGTAGTCCGACGAACGGTTGCTGAGCAAGAGGGCGAGCCGCCGGAGGCCGGTACTCGTCTTGCGCGACTTGCCTTCCCGTCCCGCCTTGCCTCTGTGGCGTAGTAGGAGAGTTGGCGATGTCTCGCTCGTAGGCCGTGGTGGCCGTTGTCAAAAGCGCATACCGGTCGCTGCGGTACCTGTACTTGTACTGGTTGCCGCTGCGTACCGTGTCATCTTCTTCTGATGAATAATCTTCAACATCAGATACTAATATCAACATTTATATTAATTTCATCGAGATTTTTTCCACGAAATTCCTGACCTCGTCCATTCTCCAACATCAATAACAATTTGCTAACTTTAGCTACCTGAAAGGCGCTTTCTGACAACCTATAAAATTGCTTATGTACATCCTTGGAATGTCCAAGAAATGTGGATAATTGTTCAAGGTCACCATCAGATAAATTTAAAATTTGTGCGATTGTAGCTACTTTCTTCCGTAGTTTAGTAGATGTGAGGTTTTCGGGATTTTTCGCTCCACTGTCGACACTTAGTTTTCGTATTGCGTCAGAACCTCTTATACAGTTTAATGAATGTGGCTGTGCGAATAAGTATGGGTTGTTTTTATCGATAAAATCAACTACTTCTCTAGTCTTGAGTAAAAATATTATAGTTTTTTGTAATGTTGGAGTAAAAAGAATGGGTATTCCGCGACCTCTTTTTCCTCGTATGACGATTCTTTTTAATTGTTTGGGGAGCTGGCGTTCCATTTCGGATAAAGATGAATCAATTTCTTCTTGAGATATTTCTGTTGGTGCTGTTAAATAAGTATTGATAAATAATCTCTGAACTTCTCCCGATCTTCTTCTATTAAGTAAAATAAGTTGAGCTCCTATGCTCTATTCTAAATGTTTAAAAGACTTTTGATTATTAGGGTTATTTTTAAGCTCTTGTATGCTTGTGTACATGAATTAAATGGTTTCTAAATAATTGTACATCTGA